AATGTGATCACAAATTAAAAAATTAAAATGGATAAATTTGTAAATAAAATTAAAAAATTTTAATCCATTAGCGGTTTGGTACAAAAAGCTACATAAACTAGTTTTTTCAATCCGCTAGTGGTTTGAACTCTAACCGCTATCCGCAAGTTTCAAACCGCTAAATAAAAATTTTACCAAACACTTTATTTATAACAGTTTCGAAATATGTAAATTTACCAAATACCTATATTTAGCGGTTTAGGTAAAACCGCTAACCGCTATCCCAAAACCACTATACCAAATTGGGCCATAATCACTTATTTTTAAAATATAATTGATATACCTCATTTTTCTATTAAAAACTTTCCTTTGAAAGTTTTATAAGAAAGTTTTAATATAATCATTTATATTTTTATTATAATCAATTATATCTTACTTTAATTTTTGTGTCAAAAATTTTAATTTTTTGAGCCAAGTCAACTTAATTTTTAGTTGACTTTTGAAGATTCTTTTTATGAAAGAAATTTCAACCAAATATATCCTTAAAGGTAAGGAAACAATTATTTTTTCGTAGGTTTTAATCATTTATCTTACATGACACTTTTAGCCTTCACTTATTAGAGTTGAAGAAAATAATCCTTATTTTATAATATTTCGTTAGTTTTGTTAATTGATTGTTAACTCTGTTAGTTAACTGTTAATTCTGTTAGCTGATTATTAATTTAATTAACTGAAAATAAATTTTTATCAGCTAACAATTAACTAACAGTCAATTAATAGAGTTAACAGTCAGTTAATAAAATTATTCTGTTAGCTGAAATTAGATTTTTGCTAACTAACAGTCAACTAATAATTAACTAATAAAGTTAACAGTCAACTAACAGAATTAACAAAATGTTATAAATGAGAGTTATTTTCTTTAATTCTAATAGGTGAAGGGTTAAAAGTGTTATAATATAAGGTAATAGATTAAAAGTGTTATAATATAAGATAAAAAGTTAAAACCTATAAATTTAATAAGATAAAGACTAAAACTAGACTTTTATTCTTAAAGGTATGTTAAGTTAGAGCACAATTTTATTTGAAAATTTTTAATTGAAAAAATGTTTAAAATGTGGTAAATAAAAAGTTATAAAA